CGTCGCGCGGGTGGCGATGCTTGTCACCGCGAAGGTGGAACGTGTTCCTCCGCCACGGCACGTCGCTCGTCATCGCGCCGAGTCGGCCACCGCCACGCCCGCCTTGCACCGCCTCTCTTTCTTGGCTGGCTGGCACGACGGGAACTCTATTAGCTCGAAAGGCCGGCCTTCGGGGCGACCGCTCTAAGGAACGCCCACGCTCCTGCGAGCGTTCGGGCCGCGGCCCTTCCTCTTTGCGTCGAGTGAAGACCCGGCCCCATCGTAACTCATACTTGTCCATGCTATGCGCCTACACTTGTTTCCTGGTATGAACGGGATCTCTCCCTCACCCCACTGGTTCCCTCTTGGTGGCGTACCACTGTGTGCTAAGCTTAGAGCAATATCTTCCACTATTCTGAGAGAATACCAGGAAACAAGCAACGAGTGCTCTGTGAGTGCTCGGCCTTACCCTGCCCAACCCTGTGCTGCACATTCCTCAATGCGCGGCTCGGGGTTGGGACATTTCGCCCTTCGTCCCACATTTCGCACTTCGAGGCTTTCCCCCCTGAGACTTCCCCACCGTTCACATTCCGTTCCCCCCCCTTCTAAACCTATTCCAACAGTAACCTCGCTACACTCCACACTACTCATTAATCTACTTGAAATGCAATTGTAAGGTTATCATCTATTACTATTCCTTCACCCCTTGTATTCCTGTTATTGCTTATGCATCACGTGCATAAGCGGTGACAGCTTGGCCTGGCTGAGACTTTCTCTGCTCCTCTGGCATGCCTCACAGCCCTCCACCCAGCCCTTCACTTGCCTCCGCATCTCCTCCCACCACCACCCTGTCTTCAGCAGCTGCACCATCCTCTCATGTCCGAAATGCCCCAGTTTCGTGTGCACCTCCTTGATCACTGCTTCTCTGTCACTAGGTGCTGGCACCAGCTTCCATCCATCCTCGGTTTGTATCTGTAACTGCTGCTGATACCATCTGTAGTAGTGCCCCCTCGCCCTTACTCTCTCCGTCATCTCCTCATCCTCCCATGTCTCCCCTTTTACCCACCGCATGGCCTGCTCATCTTCCCAAATATCTGCTGGCCCCTTGCCCCCTTTGTCCCCACCCACTTCTACCTGTCTGGCCAGCAGTGTTAAGGTTACGCTCTGTTCGAGCTGTGGGGGGTTTCGGGAGAGGCCATCCACGTGCTGTAGACTCTTTCCAGGCCGGTGTTTGATCTTGAAATCATATTCCTGCAGCTTCATCGCCCACCGTGCGTTCCTGTTTGTCAGTCCCGGCGTAGTCATCAGCCATGTCAGTGGCTGGTGATCCGTCACCAAGATGAACTCCCGTCCCTGCAGGTACACTCTAAAATGCCCCACCGCCCATACTGCCGCCAGTCCCTCCCCTATGTACGAGCTGTATTGCGCCTCCGCCGAGTTGCAGCTCCTGCTCGCGTAGGCCACCACCTTCTTTTCCCCTTGTACCTCCTGGCAGAGTATCCCTCCCATTCCTTGGCTGCTCCAGTCGGTGTAGAGAGTGAATGGCTGGTCTGCTACCGGCAGCCGTAACACGGTCGCCGTCTTCACCGCAGTCATAAGGTCCTGCAAGGCTCCCTTCTGAGCCTCTCCCCATTCCCATGCCCTGTCCTCACTCAGCAGCCCATTCAATGTTGTTGCTTGTTTGCTGAAGTTGGGCACGAACCTTCTGTAGTAGCTGAGGAAGCCTAACACCGCCCTCAGCCCCGACTTGTCCTTTGGCTCCCGCAGCCTGTCCAATACCTCTACCTTAGCCTGCTGGATCCCAACCTGTCCTCCCTTCAACTCGTATCCCATGTACTGCACTGTCTCCTCGCCCCACCTGCACTTCTTGGGGTGACATGTGAGTCCCGCCGCTTCTATTGCCGCTAGTGTCCTCTCCACATCCTGCAAGTGCTGCTGCTCGGTGGCACTGAAGATCACTACGTCGTCTATGTAGCACGCCGCACATTCCACATCCCTCTGCACTGCATCCATAACCCGCTGAAACACTGCCGATGCGTTCCTCAGCCCGAATGGCATGTACAGCCACTCATACAGCCCATCCGGCCCATGGAAGGCCGTCTTCTTGATGTCCTCCTCCCTGATCTTGATTTGGTTGAACCCCTGCCGCAGGTCCAACGTGGTGAAGAAGACTTGTCAAATATATCTTCTGCCATGAGCATGGGGTACCTGTCAGCTACTGTGATCTTGTGAGCGCCCGGTAATCCCCGCACATCCTCCTGCTCAGGACCTTCCCTGTTATGTCCTTCCTTGCAGCTACTACTGTGGGCGTGGCATATTCTGACTCCGACCGCCTAATCAACCCGGCCTCCAGCAGCTCCTTGATTTTCTCCTTGCAAACTTCCTCATCCCCGTGCGGCATCTTCCTCCTCCGGTGGAACACGGGTTCCGCACTACTCAGCTTCAACTCCATCTCCTTCATCTTGCACCTTCCCAACTCCTGCAGGTTGAAGGCGAAGCACTGTCGGTGTTTGGTCAGCAGCCGTAGCATAGCTTCATTCCCTTCCTTGCTCATCGCCTCCCCTACCTTCCACGTCTCTTCCTCTTTCTCGTGGCATGCCCAGGCTCCCTGAGGGCGTGGCTCCATGCCCCCTTCTCCTTCCTCCTGCCCCCAGCTCACCACTGTCTCTCTCCACATCCGCTGGACCAGCCATCTCATCACGTTGCCGTCCATGACGTTTCCTAGGGCCCTCCTCCTATCGGCCTCGCTCACCCCAGGAGCCGCCGTTGTATTCTCCCCATATCCCAATGCCAGCTCCCGCTCCAGCGCGGTCGGCTCCTCCCATCGCTTCTACGTGTGATCATATATGAGTCCTGGACCCGGTTCCCCTGCTGCCCACGCATATCCTGCCGCTCCTGCATATGTAACCAGAGTGGGCAGCGCCCGCCGCGCCTGTCCCACCTGATTGCAGGGATAATGTCTGCTGTACCCCTTCCGACGCACCGGCGCTGGGGTCCGTCCTGGCTCAAGGATGTCCTAGCTGGCCCATGACACCCCTTGGCACTCCCATCCAGCCACCAGCAGATCCACCTGCCCCCAGCTGGCCACCTCCGCCTCTGTCAGCTGAGCCACATCATGACTGTCTCTCTTCATCGCGTCACGGATCACCCCCGCACTCAGGAGCTCTGGGAACTCCGCCTGCAGCTTCCACGCATGATGCTCAGCCATCTTCCTCACCACTGGCGCTCGTTCCACATACACCCACTTCTGTACTGCAATCCCACTCCTCACCACTGCTGCTAATCCCGCCTCAATCCCTCCAAACAACTCCACCAAGCGGATGGGCTGCTGCCAGTCGCTCTGCTGCCTCGGCTCATCCATCATCCTCATTCTGGGCACTCCCATGGTCCCGCCCACTCCCTTGCGCTTCCCCGCCTCTGCTGTCTCCGCTTCCTGCCCCGCCATGGCCTGATACGCTCTCTTGGGCCCCACCTTCACGAATCGTGCTGGCAGCTCCCCTAGTGGCCCCTCCTTCTTCCAGTACCGTGTTCGGAACGCCACCCTCTCTGTCCACGTGCAGATGGTCATGCCCACCGCAAACACCAGATCTGTGCCCACTAACACGTCAAAATCCTCGGACTCAGAGATGCCACACTTCATTCTGATCTTGGTTTCATGCTCCCCTCCTGGCAGTAGTGTCACCTCTATGGGTGCCCGAGAGCAGGGCATCCATTTCGGCTCCCCCCCTTCTGCTGTCATCACCAACATCCCCCTTTTCACATGCCTTTCTGGAGCCAGGAGCCCCAGCTTCTCAGCCAACCTTTTGCCTAGCATCACGCTCTGTGCCCCTGTGTCTATGATGGCAATCTTTACCTTCTCTCCTTCCACTTCCATAGCCCCCTCTTCCAGCAGCAACATTGAGGTCTGACACGCCAGCCTCTCCTGTGGATGGCGTGCTGGCGGCGGAACCAACCCTGAACCCTCTGGTTTCTGCCCCTTCTCCCGGACCTTCCTGCTATGCTCCTGCCTGCCGTCCTTCCCTCCGCTCCTCAGCCCCATCTCCTCTCTTCCCCTCCATGCCATGAGTGCGCGCTGCACGTCCTGCTCCACCTCCTCTCCCTCCTCGTTTCTCGCATACATCCCTGCCTCTGGGGAGGAGGTAGAGGGGGAGAAACAGGGGCAGGAGAGTCAGTGGACTGGTGAGGCAGGTCTCATGCACGCCCCGCACTCCTGGGCTGTCCGTGATGTATACCAACACGCCCTTGTTGATGTATACCAACACACCCTTGTTGATGTATACCAACACGCTCTTGTTGATGTATACCAACACGCCCTTGTTGATGTATACCAACACGCCCTTGTTGATGTATACCAACACGCCCTTGTTGATGTATACCAACACGCCCTTGTTGATGTATACCAACACGCCCTTGTTGATCCTGAGAGGAGGGAGAGAGATGGAGAGAAGGAGGTAGAGGGGGGAAATAGGGGCAGGATTCCCAATGGACTGGTGGTGAGTCAAGTCTAACAGATCCCGCTCACTCTCGCTCTCGCTCTTCCTAGCTTGCCTTGGTGCACCTGCGTGTTTTCAACCTTGATTGTTTCTCATGTGTGACCTACGGCACGTGCCTGCGTCAATATTGATATGTTATCAATCACATACGATATCTACAAGCCTCGGCCCCACAGCGCAGCTCACCACATCTTGGCAATCCCAATGGCGGGCGGAGGGGAACACACAGCCGCTTGCTTGCTGCTGCTCCGGGTGGATGTTGCTTCGCCCCCTTCTATCTCACCCGCTCTTCCTCACTTGCGTTGGCAGGCACATCTCTGCCTGCTTCAGCCTGAATCCCCTACCTATCCCACATGACATCTACAAGCCTCAGCCCCACAGCCGCTCACCACATCGTGGCAATCTCTAGAGCACAAAAGAACAGCCCTCCTCCACTGTTGTTGCGGATGAGCCTCTCTTCGCATCTTGCCTCACTCACGGTGAGCTTTCTGTTCACCCTATGACACCTGCCTGACCCAGCCCCGCAGCTCACCACATATTGGCAATCTCTATAGCGGATGGGAACAGCCCTCCACTGTTGTTGCGGATGTCCAGAATGAAGGCCGTGGCCCCCTCCCCTGTCAGCTGCTCCAGTGCTTGCTTTAATGCGCCTGTGCGACGGATGGAAAGGGATGGAGAGGGATGGAGAGGGATGGTGAGTTGGTACAGCGAAGGGGATGGTGGAGAGAGCTGACACACATACAACGAGTTCCGGGTGAAGGTGGTGATGCGCATGTACCCCACCCCACCGCACCGCACCTTCTCCTCACTGGCTACCTGCGCCACACCCACACCAGCACCACACTTACACACACAATGCCTGACACACTCACTTGACGAGTTCTGGTTGAAGGTCGTCAGGCGGATGTACCCCACGCGCACCTTCTCTTCATTCCCTGCCTGCGCCACACCCACTCCACCACCACCACTCTCCCCACCACGGCTCACAGCGCTCCCACTGCTGCCGAAGCTGCCTGCCAAACCATTCCCTGAGGTTAGGAGAGCTGCCGAGGCTTGCCGAGAGAGGTCGCAGGTTCGGAAGATAACGGGGTTGAGGGAGACCTTCTGGCGGGTGAGAGTAAATGTGAGCTCTTGCGGCTGCTGTTGACTCGGTTGACTTTGTTGACTCGGCTGCTGCCTACCCCTCTGCTGGGGGAGTTGCTTGACTGCCTCCCCTCCTCTTTGCACAGTCAACTCCACTAGGGAGTCAGCTGGCCCTCTGGCGAACAGGAGTGGAGAGCGGTGAGACGGGGCAAAGATGCATGGGAAGGGGTAAAGAGACATGGAGAGGGTTAACAAGGGATGAAGAGGGGCGAAGGGAGGTGAGGTACGGGAGGTAACATAGTTATGCAGAGATGGTATCAACAGTGTTACGGAAAGTATCAAACTTCCATTCAAACCCATCGAACCAGAACCGTCAACACACATTTGCCCAAACAATCACATGCCCCACCAGCATGCGCTGGGAAAGAAACCCCTGAAAACCTCAACAAAAGGCCCTTAACCCTCCCAAAAACCCCAGAACCGCACTCATTGCAGCTTTTGTGCAGCATCGTAAAGCCCGAGTCCCTCCACGGGCTCCCCGTCAACTCTCACAATCACATCCCTGGGAGCCACACCCACGCGGTCCGCTGAGCCCCCCCTAAACCCAACCAAACCCCTCAGAACCGCGCACTCACTGCAGCTTCTGCGCAGCATCATAGAGCCCGAGTCCCTCCACCGCCTCCCCATTGACTCGCAAAATAACGTCTCTGGGAGCCACTCCCGCCCGGTCCGCTGGGCCTCCGGGCACCGGTGCCACGACCACGAGCTGCCTGCCGTCCGGAGAGAAGGCGAGCTCGAGGCCGACTCCGGTGAGCTGGCCCTGCGTGCCGGCCTTGAGCGAGCGGAACTTGCCCGGCTCAAAGAAGCGCGTGAAGGGGTCGTCCAGTGACGCCAGCATCTTGCGAATCGCAGCGTCTGGAGAAGCAAGGAGGAGAAGGGTGTTGGGAGTTAGACGGTCACAAGGAAAAAGGGATGGGAGAGGGGAACCCAGGGAGGGAGGTGGGTGGGTTCGTTGCGCCAATGCTGTACAAGAACTCTACCCCCAGCAGGAGGTCATAGTCTTCGGACGGCCATATCCCGCACTGCAGTTTTACTGAGCACTCTTCAGGGCTCCCCTGCCGGATGATAATCTCCACCGTGCTCCGTGTCTTCGGCATCCACTTGGTGGTTCCTCCCTCCGCCGTCATCAACAGTAGCCCCTCCTCTATCTGCCGCTCAGGCCGGTCCAGCTGCAGCTGCTCCGCCAGTCTCCTTCCAATCAGCACTGGGTGTGCACCTGTGTCAATAATCGCTTGCTTCACCGACACGCCTCCCACCGTAATGTACCCCCTTTCAGCCACTAACACCGATGCCGCACAACTGAGTCGCTCAAGGGGGTGTCTACACGGCTGATGCTGGTCTTCTTCAGTCTCTGCCCTCCTTCTGGGGCCGAGCTCCCTTCCCACTTCGGTTCGCGGCCTCAGGTTCCTCTCCCGCTGCCTCAATCCCAGTTCGTCCCGTTCCCTCGCCGGCCAGGCCATCAGGCCGAATTCTTCCTCACTACTTTCCTCCTCCTCTTCTCTCGCCACCATTGCCGGCTTCATCTCGCCTCCTGCCCCGCGCACCTCCAACCGTGCTCGCAACTTCTCGATTTCCGCCCTCATCTCCGCCAGCTCGCTCCTCTCTCGACTGTCCCCGCGGCCTTCTCCCCTTCGTGAATAACATTCTCGGTCCGTATGCCCCTTCCGCCCACACTTCCCACACACAGGCGCCTCTGGGCAGTCGCGCCTCTGATGATCCTCTTGCCCACAAATTGAACACTCGGGCGGATTACGACAGTCTCGCCTCAGGTGTCCCGCCTGTCCGCAATTGTGACATTTGCGCACGTCTCCTGGTCCCCTGGGCGGCCGGTCTCTCTCCACTGGCGCCGCGCTCCATGCTGGCCTTCGTCGCTCTGCCGCTCGCTCGGCCGTTCGTTCCACTTCGAACAGCCTTCTCTCCGTTTCCACCCTCTTCGCTGTCTCGTACGCTACGCTCAACGTCGCCGCGGCGCCCATCTCGAAGATCTTCGCCTGCACGTCCCTTTGCAGCTCATAGTTCAGGCCGTTCAGGAATTTGCTGACGAGGCGGCCTTGATCCACGCAGTTCATGTCCTCCCCGAGTTCCACGAGCCGTCCGTAGTACGCCAGCAGAGACTCTCCGGTTCTCCGTTTGAAGTTACGGAACTCCACCACGCGCTCGGGCGTCTGCAGCGGGAATTGATCACGGAGCATCTTCAAGAATTTCTTGGTAGGATCCCTTTCCCCCGGCCTCCCCTGTGCTGCCCAATCCAGAAGCTCGCGCCGGCAGATACGGTAGTAGGTCTCGGCTTCCCCCGTCAGCGTATTAGCCAAGCCTCTAAAGAATTCGTCCGCCGCCAGTCTGTCGCGCTCCCAGTGCGCCCTCAGGTTCTCCAGCTGCATCAGGTAGTTCTTCAAAGATGGTCCGCGGCGCACTTCCCCCGAAAATCGCTCCGGCACCTCCACCTTTGGTAGCATCGTGTAGCGCCACCGCATCGACGCTGCGTCTTCCTCGAAGCCCTGCCACAACGCGCTCCGCTGGTAAGGCCTGTCACTTCCCCTTCGCCCTCCCGACGTCGCGGCTGCTTCTGCGGAGACGGGCTTAACCACTCCTGTCCTGGTTCCTTCTTCCACACCACGCGGCTGTCCGCGTTCCTCCTCGGAACCCGTGGCTCCACTCGGCTTTCCCGTCGCTCCTTCTTCCGCGCCGTGCGCCTCCGTCTCTTTCCCGAGCCCGTGCTCTATGGGCTCGTTCTCTCCATCTCCATTCACCGTCGCCGTTCTGACTATCAGATCCTTCGCGGCAAAATCTAGTCCCGATCTTGTGGGCATGCCCTACTCAAACCTGATTGCTTGTATGTGACGAGCTCCTAGCTCCCTCACATAACTACTCCTATCCTGCTTCTATCATGCGTAGCTTGCCATATCTCCTTAACTTCACTACTTGCTCAGTGTGTCGCAAGAAAATCGTGTTTTAAATGAAACATACAAGCAATGAGGTTAGCTACAACAAGGATCCTCCTATCTACCAGCTCTGCCTCCTCCATTCTGGTCCCGTCAACTCCTCGCCTGTCCCTCGGCAGCTATTGCAACCTAGGAGCAGATTTGCATCCATCCTGCCTGACGCCACTCTTCCCCGCCTCTTGCTACTTTGCCTCCAGCTGCCACTGCACTGATCCAGCTGGCTCCTTGGAGCACGCCTACATATACGAAAGCAAACACGCATGCACACGAACACCCATCCAAGCTCTGGTGGTAACCCTCTTTCCCTTGCCGCTGCCTGGCGCTGTAATTCCCTCCCTTGCCCACTCTCCTCTTACGTAAGTCCCGCCCAGTTTGGTTCCCAAGCACTTCCCCAACCCTTCGCTTCGGCAGTCGTCAACCCCCTTTTCTCGTCCTCTCGTTCTCGCTATCCCAGCAGTCATCCGTCCCTTCGACTCCCATCCTCGATACTCGCCCAGCTTGCTATGTACAGTATGTACACTTTGTACAATCCCCCATACGCTTCCCATTCTCCCTTCACATTCATGCAAATGTGACAGCTGTCGGAACTCACCAACCTCCCTTCCGCTCTCTTGTGTCTCTCTCTCCTTCTTCTCCTTCTCACTCATCTTAAGACCTTTACCCCGCTGCTGCCCTCTCAGTTCTGACTCTCTCCCACCCCTCCTTTTCCTGTCAAGTCTTCTCAGTGATACCTCACAGATATCCCTCCTTCCCCCACTTCCTTCTCCTCCCTTACTAGTTCTTTCCGTGATGAGCTCCCTCTTGCCCCCTCCCATGACCTGTTGCTGCCGTCCTCGCCCTAGTCATGGGACCCTTGTAAGCCTGGTCCTTCTTGACCTTGCCCGCCACTGCCACGTTGGTCACGTGATCCATCACTCTTTTTCCCTTCTCGTCCTCCAACACCAACACCCCTAACTCTCGCACCTCCTTGACTGTCCACCTCTGCTCTGACACTCCCAAGTCCAGTCCATCACGCTTCGCCCTCCTTACGTACACCTCCTGTCCTTCCTCCAGCCGTGGTTCCTTGATCTGCATCTTCCCCAGCTGCCGCTGACGGTAGCGGTGAATGTCTCGCAGCTGCGCCACCTTCAGACTTTCCATTGCCGCCGGCAGCATCTTTTTCAGGTACACGGCCCTCGCGTCTGCTAGTGCCACCCACTTCTCTGCGGTCCCTGCTGTCACACTGTCTGTCAGAAGCCGTGGCGCCCCCACTGGCAGTATTGGCTATTTCCCGAATAGCAGATAGTAAGGGGACACATCTTTCAGGGCTGCCTGTTTGCTGAACCGATACCCTGCCATCACCCATGCAAGTTTCTTGTCCCAATCCCCTTTGTGAGCCGCACCGTACACTCGCAGCCCCTTCTTCACTGTCTGCACCAACCTCTCTATCAGGCCGTCTGCTTGTGGATGGTACCGAGAGGTGGTGCAATGCTGGATGCCATTGGACGCCAGTAGTTCATCAAACTCCCCCTGAAACTCCGTCCCCTGATCTGTCAACACCTCTCCACATGCCCCGAACCTTGTCAGCACCATCTCCTCGAATGCCTCTGCTACCGCTGCCGCCGTCTTGTTCACCAATGGTCGTGCTTCTGCCCACTTGCTCACGTGCTCGATCATGAGCACAATGTACCGCCTCCCTCTCCTAGACACAGGCAGCTCCCCTGCTATGTCTAGTGACCATCGGTATCCGAGCTCCACTATGGCCAGCGGCTGGAGATCTGCTTGACTCTTCAGTAGTGTCGCCTTGTTCCTGCAGCAGAGCTCGCATTTCTCCACCCAATCTTTCACCTCCTTCCTCATCCCTGCCCACCACCAGCCTGTCTGCAGTAGCTGTTGTGTGCGCAGGGGGCCGTAGTGCCCCAACTTCTCATGCACTTCCTTGATTATCTTCTCTCGTTCTGCTGGCTCTGGCACCCTCTTCCAGCCATCCTTGGTCCTCAGCTGCACCTGGCCTTGAAACCACCTGTAGTGCTGTCCCCTTGCCCTTGCCCTGGGCCCTGCTCCCCCGTCCTCTGCAGTTTCTCCCTTGATCCATGCTAACGTTTCTGCATCCTGCCAGACGTCAACTGCCCCTCGTTTCTGCTCTCCTCCTGCCCCCTGCTCCTTGACCATGGCGGTCAATGCTGCTGCTGGTGGTTCCGGTTCGGTGCCACGCCCCTGCTTTTCCCTTGGTGGGTTCCTTGACAGCCCATCAACGTGCTGCATTGTCTTGCCGGGGCGATGCTTCACTGTAAAATCGTACTCTTGAAGTTTCATTGCCCATCGTGCATTTCGCCCTGTCAGTGTCTGGTTTTGCATGAGCCACAGCAAGGGCTGGTGGTCAGTCACTAGCGTGAAGTGGCTCCCCTGCAGATAGACTCGAAAATGTCCCACTGCCGACACCGCGGCCAACCCTTCTCCTTCATACGAGGAGTAGTTCGCCTCTGCTGGGTTGCATGTCCTGCTGGCGAACGCCACCACCTTCTCCTGCCCGTCTTCCATTTGACTCAGGACTGCCCCCATCCCTACACTACTCCAGTCCGTGTACAGCACGAATGGTGCCTTCCCATCAGGTAGCTTAAGTACTGCCCCCGCCTTTACTGCCTCCATTAACCCCTTCAGTGCTACCTCCTGCGCCTCCTCTCACTGCCACTTCTGCTCCTCCCTCAGCAGCTTATTCAGAGGTGCCGCTTTCTTGCTGAAGTCTGCAATGAACTTGCGGTAGTATTTCAAAAATCCCAGCAGCGCCCTTAGACCGCTTCTGTCCTTCGGGCGTCCCACCCTGTCCAACACTTCTACCTTCGCCTTCTGGATGCTCAACTCTCCCCCTGCTACCTCAAACCCCAGGTACGCCACGCTGCTGTGTCCGAAACGGCAC